TTGGTTGCGTACTGTGGGATACTGGGGATATTCGGCTTTTTTCATTCACTTGATGGCCCATGACGTACTTACCAGTCCATATGTTTTACTGCCTTGTACTGTCAAACCGAACTAGGTCAATTATTATTTTTTTCCTCTTCAAAAAATAAAAAGGAGCCGGAGTCGCCCCCTTTTTTGGCGGCTCCGGCTCCGGCTCCGGCTCCGGGCGATATTGCTTCACGGCTCCGGCTCCGGCTCCGGCTCCGGGCAAAATATGCCGGCTCCGGCGGCTCCGGCTCCGACTCCGGCTCCGGCTCCGCATCCCTGTTTTATACAACTCGAAAGCAGAGCTAGCTGGATTGTGTACACTCGCATTTGCATGAAAATTAGCTCCATGGTGGCTTACGGCACTCCCGTTTCCCGCCTCGCGCAGTTTTGTTGCACGCAACTGAAATTTACCGTCGTCAAATGCCTATTTCTTTGGTCTACTTGAGCGCTATATGGCGAGATGTGCTCCCTACTCCGCCGCCAAAGAGACCTCATCTACGGACACTAATCTCAGGCTCCTTTGACCTATATCGCTCCAAACGATTACCTGGTGGCCTGGTAGCTCTCTGCTGTCAATCCAAGCCGCCGGCTTGCCAAGCTAAGCGGAGAACATGGCTAAGCAAGCACGTCAGCTACGTTTTGTTTGGGAACACTCCCCACAATTACGCCGTGCTCATCATTAGCGTCTGTCGGTTCGAGTGCCTCGACCCGGCGACGGTGGCGCTGTGGCGCTGCACATCGGTCGCCGGTGGTGCCGCGGTCTGCAGCACCTCTCGACACCGTCCCGGGGGCCTGCGCGGCAGTCCCGGCTCTGGAATACCGACCCGTCACGACTGGGAACTGGTCAGGGGGCTCTGAGGCGCGGGTCGACCGCGACGGCTGGAGCTGAATGATGAGCGGGCGGCGGCAGCCAACAATGGTCAACTGTGAGTCGCGCGCCGGCCGGCCGACAGACCCGCCGATCCGCGCCGACAGACCCGCCGGCCCGCGCCGACAGTTCCGCCGGTCCGCGCCGAACGGACTGCCGGCCGACAGATACGCCGGTCCGCGCCGAACGCACTGCCGGCCCGCGCCGACCGACCCGCCGATCCGCGCCGAACGGACTGTCGGCCGGCCGACAGACCCGCCGGTCCGCGCCGAACGGACTGCCGGCCGGCTGACAGACCCGCCGGTCCGCGCCGACAGACCCGCCAGTCCGCGCCGAACGGACTGCCGGCCCGCGCCGAACGGACTGCAGGCCGACAGACGGACTGCCAGTCCGCGCCGACAGACAGACTGCCGGTCCGCGCCGAACGGACTGCCGGTACCTCCATGACGCTGAGTCCTCACCTGAGCAGCACCTGTTGGACGCGGACGCGCACCGCCCGCGACCCTGTCGAGAGGGGATGGGGGGGGGGGGGGTGAACGGGCTATTGCCCTAGTGGACACTACCCTATGGCACCTCAGCTGGAGGGTCGACAGGTAGGGATCCGCCTGGCCTGCCGGATGTGCCCAGGCCGTGTGCTGGATACACGGGTCGCTCCCCGAGTTGACCGACACTGAGTGTCACAAACCGCGCAGCAGCCGCGCTCTCTGCTGCACCGTACCGTGGCGGGGCTGTCCAGTGTCCACAGGGCGGTGGTATCCGTCTCCAGAGTCGGCCACATTGGACGGTGTCGGCTCTGCCTGCGACATCGGACGGCCGGGCCAGCGTTCAGTCGGGATGCGCGACTCCGCGCCACGGACTTTTCAGAGCCTGACTCCGCCATGTGACTCCGCGCCACGGACTTTTCAGAGCCTGACTCCGCCATGTGACTCCGCGCCACGGACTTTTCAGAGCCTGACTCCGCCATGTGACTCCGCGCCACGGACTTTTCAGAGCCTGACTCCGCCATGTGACTCCACGCCACGGACTTTTCAGAGCCTGACTCTGCCATGTGACTCCGCTGTACAGACTGGTCAGAGTCTATCATATGACTCCGCTGTACGGACTGGTTGGGGTCTGACTCCGCCATGTCACTCCGCTCCACAGACTGATCGGAGTCTGACTCTGCCATGTGACTCCGCTGTACAGACTGGTCAGAGTCTGATTGCCATGACTTCGCACCACGAACTGGTCGAAGTCCGACTCTGCCATGCGACGCCGCTGTACAGACTGATCGGAGTCCGACTCTGCCATGCGAATCCGCTCCACAGACTGATGGGAGTCTGACTCCGCCATGACCCCGCGCCACAGACTGATCGGAGTCCGACTCTGCCATGCGACTCCGCGTCACAGGCTGTCCCCAGTATTGACCGGTCCCCGCCGGCCGCCGGCCCGCAACCACCTGTCTGACACAGCCCGGTCAGCTGGTCCGACTGACTGACGACGATCGGTCGACGAGCGGTCGGGGCGGGGCGGGAGGAACCACCTGTCTGACACAGCCCGGTCAGCTGTGTCAGACTGACTGTCGACGAGTGGTCGGGGCGGGGTCAGGTCGGGTCGGTCTGTCGGTCACAGAGCTGTGTCTGTTAAGTGTTAACTGTGTCTGTCTGTCAGCTCTGTTGGTCAGGTGTGTCTGTCAGCTGTCTGTCAGCTGTGTCTGTCAGCTGTGTCTGTCAGCTGTGTCTGTCACCGTGTCGTCAGCTGTGTCTGTCAGCCTTGTCTGTCAGCTGTGTCGTCAGCTGTGTGTCAGCTGTCTGTCAGCTGTGTCTGTCAGCTGTGTCTGTCAGCCTTGTCTGTCCGGTCACTGAGCTGTCTGGCCAGTGTTCGTCTTTTAACGATCGTGGCGTTCCTGTCCGTCACCAGTGAGGATAGATGCCTGATGTCTGTCGAGCGGCGCGCTATTTTCTCTGTCCGAATGGCCGTTTTGAGGCGACATGTGCACCTAGATGATCTTCGTCTTGGGGGCGCACATTGTGAGCGCTCCAGAACAGCACCAGCTATTGCACAACACGAGTGGTCAGAGTTTCTTCTTTGGCATAGCAATGGTGAAAGCGATACAAAATGAAAACATGCATAATAAAATGTTTATGATAATCAGCCTTATGCACGTATCCCTGGCTTTTTTCTTTAAATATTCCTAATTTGATTTTTGAACTAACCTTTAGATAATTTGGCAATCTGGCAGAACAATAAAACCGCCGCGAGCTCCACCAAGGTGCAGTACCGGGACTCCGCCGGGCCCGCTCCACCGGTCCCGCACCGGCGCCCTCCCGTCGCCGCCACCTCGGGTCCATCGGCGAGCGGCGCCGGTGGCCGGGGGCAGCGGCGCCCAGCTGCGGGCAGCCACCCGCGCGTGCCCCGGTTACCGGTGTGTTGACAGCTGCGGGAAGCGCCGTGTGTCGGCCGGCGGCCCGCCCGCTCTCCACTGTCAGTCAGTGTTCTAAAATTGGATATTGGTTGGGTGTGCCGATGAAGAAAAAGAAATCCTAGGATGAGAAAAAAGGAAGTAAATAACTGAAGTATTTTTGCAAAATGGTGTAAATGCCAATTTTTATGCCAACTGATAAACCAGGATTTCATGTCAGGATCTTGACAGGGTGTGAAACAAAAGGATGTGGGTGCATCAACTGTCAAGTGACATGTAAACTAGCTGTTGGGAATACATGAAACTTTTTTTCAGAGATGAAGTATAGTCGGTCATTCATATTTTAGGGATGAAAATATTTTCTCCATTAGGTGTGATTTGCCACCAAAAAGTCTGAAAAATGTAACACTGACTGTCAGTCAGTGCCGCCACACTCGTCACAGAAGGCTGGGCGGCGACGGCACCCGCCGTGCCGGGACGGCGCACCCGCCGCGGTGGAAGCGCCGCCAGGCAGCCTCAACCGTCGGCGTTGTTTTGGGAAACAGGTTACGGACTACGGTAGTTGCGCACTGCGCAGCCACTACGGTAGTTGCGCAGCCCGCATAGCTGTCCAGATACGCGGACTGTGTGGAATTTGTAGGCTGACAGTTTTCTGAAGGCCGGGTGAATTATTCTGCCGTAGTAGGTTTCCCGCGCTTCTGAACCGAGAGCGTGGCACACGCCAAGTATGTCAACTATTCGCCGCTCAACAGATTGATGATCGTGTACGAAACTGACCGACAGAACATATAATTCACCTCGCCAGTGTAGGGTTTCGCAGCGCGCTGCCGAGTGCCGGGCACCCACCGGCTCACCTCGCTGGCCGGTAGTGGCTCTCAGCCGCGCCTTTGAGCGCGGGGTGACGCCGCTCTGTGATGGGACGCGGCTCGAGAAGCCGCCGGCGGCGCCGACCGGGTCCGGATGCCTGTGCCGGGACGCGATCAGTTTTCTGAGCTCTGAGAGGCGATCCGGCGCCGTGCCACAGACGCCTGAGGTGGTCCACCTGAGAAACATTTCCTGGACGGCGCGGCCGTGGGCCTGGCTGGTCGCTCCGGACCTCGGTCCTCTCGTGTTGCAACACTTCATCAGTTGTCTGATGTTCCTATGGTGGTTCGCTAGTTGTATACCGGTGTGTGTACTCCTATGTACAAAACATATTCCGGAACAGCTGCACAGTGACGGTTCTTCCCGGGATCTCGTTCCATGCTTGCTATGCTACTTAGCGACCGCTTTAGCAACGGACATGATATAGCGGAAGAAACTGATGGCCCGCCATGCACCACACCTAAGTTTGAACGATTCTTGATCGGTCTACATGCACTATAGAATCATTGAGAGGAATGTATCCGAGTAGCGACCGTTTTTAACCACCCACTTTGGACCGTAGCGCAGACGACAGTGCAGGCAGCTGTACCAACCACGCCCCCAGCTCACCCAGTGGAGCTCCAACTCACCCGGTTGGAGCCGTGGCTGGGTACACGGTGGTGCAGCGCCCGCCGTTGGAATTGGTCTATTGGATCTGTGTCAGTAACCCTCGGGCCTATCAGTGACCCGCCTGTCTGTGTCAGTGACCTGTCTGTGTCAGTAACCCTCCGGCTTATCAGTGACCCGCCTGTCTGTGTCAGTGACCTGTCTGTGTCAGTGACCCCCGGTCCACCCCCGCAGGCGACTCGGAGGAGGAGAGGCTCGTCTATGACGCCATCCGCTCGCTGCATGTCCAGCTGGACGATGACGCTGACGGACAGATCGACAAGAGCGAGTCGGACGAGGTGAGTTCCGCCGTGTGACGTACCCTCCCCGGACCCCGGCCGGTCACCGCCGCTCCCAAAGCGTCCTTGCGGCGTGTCTGCGAGCCGCCGAGACCGCCGGCCGCTCAGCCGTCAGCCGCGACGGGTCGGCCGCCGACACCTGTCGCCCGGGGGCCGTCCTCGCGTGTCGCGTGTCCGGCCGGACGTCCGAACCCCCCCCCCCCCCCTCCCCCGTCTGAACCCCCGGCCGGCGGCGGCCGGAACATCGCGCGGCCGTCGCTGGCAGCCAGCGCGGCACCATTCTGGGGATGTCTGGTGGCGGCGCGCGGCCGCTCGGCGGCGTTCCTGGCACCGCGCTGGCCAGCGGGACGGCGTCGCGTGCCGCGAATACCAGCCGCGCGGCGCTGGGCTGTAGCGCTGGGCTGCGCCCGGCCGTGAGGCTCTCGGTGGCTGGCTCCGCCGCTCGCCGCCACATCGGTCATCTGGGTTAGCGCTCCGCCTCCGACCTTGTCAGCCGACCGCCAGTGCAAGTGGCCCGCCGTCCGGCACGGGCTTTTTATTGTTTTGACTCACACGTAGCGGATCTGGGTCACCGCGGGCGGCTCCAAACAGCAGAGGGAGCCGCGCCCCCGAGTCGGGATCAGACCGGCCCGGCACCCGGCGGCACGTGTGGGTTAGGGCCGGTGGGAGACCGGAAGGACCGGCGGCCACCGTCACCGTCGTCGGCAGCTGGCCGGCCGCTCATCACCGCCTCTATGTGCAGAATTCTCGGGCCGGCCCCGCGCCCAGCACTGTCCTGGCGCTGGCTTCCTTCTGGCGGCCAAGTCCGCGCGGACGTATGTTCAGGTGCCGACACCGGCGGACCAGGTAGCGGCTCCGGCTCCAGCCAGGGTCGCGGGGTACCGCCGCCGCCGGAGCCGGATTAGAGCCGGCGCCATATTGGTCGCGGCGACTGGGCCCAATCGGCCCGTCACGGGCAGCGGTGACGGGCGCCGCGCTCTTTGTGTTGCGCGATCGTAAACGGCGCGAGAGAGGCGCTGATGCAACAGACTCGGACGCTGAGGTGGCGCCGGCCGCGACTAAAAAACGACAACAAGAACGGCACGGACGGCGGCGGCTCTCACGCAGTCGCGGCAGACGTGGTGCAGCGGCGGGCTCGGTGATCCTGATACCTGAAACTATTTATTTATCTGAAAACAAAAAATGGTGGTGTCCTCATTCAATGGATTCTTCCTTAGCACAATCAGCTGCAATAAAATACGCTTTTACAGAAAGCTGAATATAATCTCTACATTTTACCAGACGCCAGTTTCTAGCCGTTGGCTTCCGCCGCGCCAGCTATCCCATCGGCACCTTCTGCGGCTTCACGAGCAGCCACAGAGGTGCCCTGCTCTGCGCTGCCCGGGCCAGGGGCCGGTCATTGTTGTCGGAGCCTGTCGGCCGGCGCCGCGCACCGACTCTGTGCTCGGAGTGGGCGGCCAACTCCCGTGGCCCGGCCCGGATAAACAGCCACAAACAATGGCCCCGACAGCGGTGGCGGCCTGACTATACGGAACTGCCGGAACTGTGCGGCCGCCGTACAGAGCCCACGCGGCCGTATACTGAGCAAACAGGGAGCCCAGGCGGAGTGGCGGCTCCGAACAGTCACCGCGCCGGCCGGCTGTGGGCTCTCTGGTTAGCTGCCGGGCGCCGAGGGAAGTAGGCGGGGCTGGGGACTCTGTTAGCTGCCGGGCGCGGAGGAAAGTGGGCGGGGACCGCCACGGTGTGACTCTCCGACAGGACCGGGAATTGTGGCCGAACTAAGCACGGCCAGTCCCCGCAGTAGCTGAAAATTCGCACTCATCTTCAGTTCCTGGAGGTCAGGGACAAAACAGGAGCGATATCTGAAAGTCCATAAAACTGAGAGCGATCAGCACTACTATAAGTGGGCGCTGACGTGCTTTGATAAGATGCGGATAGATAATATGGACGCAGTCATGTGACGTCATGCTCAGTGCTGCAGTCAACTGATGACTCTCTAGTGTCTTGTGTCGGTAATTTTGGCAGCCGTACTCTGCGTAGTGGACGGTGGGGGCTCACCGCTCTGCGGACCGCGGCTGCGCGGCGGGGTCGTGACGCGCCCGGACGCCAGGGCCGTGCTCCGTCCGCTGCTGGGACGGCTGGGGTCAGGGTCGTGTTCCCCGGCGCCGGGTCGCTGCCGTACCGCAGTCAGCTGGCGGTGCCGTACCGCAGTCAGCTGGCGGTGCCGTACCGCAGTCAGCTGGCGGTGCCGTACCGCAGTCAGCTGGCCGTGCCGTACCGCAGTCAGCTGGCGGTGCCGTACCGCAGTCAGCTGGCGGTGCCGTACCGCAGTGAGCCGGTCGGCCATGGCTACCTATTACAGTGTTGACGCCTGGCTGCTCGATTCAATCGATGCTTACCGCCGCGGCTGTGTCGCGCGGCCGGGCCAGCCATTATAATTGGGGTCCACCGCCGCGACTGTATCGGATTCTCGGGTCAGCCATTATTCTCTGGACCTGTGTTTTAGCCCAGGCTCAGCGCGCAGCTATGTACAGCTATGTATCGCTGGCCTTGTGTTGGATTGTATGCCATTCACAAGCTGCTCCTGTTTAGTGTATATCTTCATGAACGGACCGTGTGGCGCCGTCCCACTAACACGTGCTCTGGGCCTGCGATATGCAGTCGCGTGTCCACTGTCCATTGCGCGTCACTGGTTACCAACAGTCGAGGTTCGCCACCGCCCTCTCCCAGCCGTGACTCAAATGGAAACTGTCGGTGATTATTTACGGCTGGGTTTCTATTACCAGCGCGACGCCCGAGCCGGCGACTGTTGCTGAACCGACACCAGTGCGGCGTGTCTTCACGGTGTCAGGGGCGGTCACATTCTCACCGAGTGAGAGCGCTCACCTGGACACGGGGTGGGCCGGGTGGACCGGGAGCGAGGCTCGTGGGCCAGTGACGATACGTCAGCCGTGAGCAGCGCCTAGTGAGGGGAGGTAGGGCTATAAGGACCACTATCCGCAGCCGACCGAGCAGAGTCCGCCGGCCCGCGGAGCTGCCGGAGCAGTCGCGGCCGGTGTGTTTTGACGCGGCCACCGGCACTGCGGGCCGTGTTGACCGGCGACGACCCCGGGTCAGCCGCAGACCCCCCGTCGGCGCCTGTTTGGGTTGGCCCGGCGGCCGAGCGCATTTCCAGCGGCTCCTCTGTCCGCCGACTTCCGGACGGTTCCGGAGTGCCGGAGCCGCCCGGAGCGGTCCGGCTCCGCCGGCAGAGGGTCCGTGGCGGGCCGGCCGCGGTCGTCTCTCCGTCCCCCGCTCCCCGCAGCTCTCGCGGTGTGGCCGCCACGCTAACCGGCCGGCCGGTCTGCCACGGAGCCGCCCGGCCGTTCTCACATACCCGCGCGCACCCACCCCACCCGGCGACCTCGATTTGCCCTCACGGCCGCCGCCCGCCAGCCAGCCTCTGCGGAATGCGATACCGGCCGTTATTAATTTCCCATGTAAGCCGCGGCGTATTATACATCGTATGTCGTTACTGACGCCGTGACCGCGGCTGAGTGGCGTCGGGACCGCTGCCGGCGCTAGCAGCTAGTCGGGTCTGCTGTCCGCGGTCCGCTGCCGGCGCAGTGCCGGTGCAGCGCCGCGGCTGTCCCGCCCCCGGCGCCTGCTCTCATCACTCACGAGCGCCCCAGAGCGCCGGCCGGCCGACCGGCCCGGCTCACCTCCGGGCGGGCTGCGGCACCACCGCGCCGGATCGCTCTCCGGCGCGTGTGAGCTCCGCTCGGCCGAGGACTGCAAACGCTCCAGTTTGGGGCGGCGCTAAATGCCGCTGGTCGATGCTGATATGCATCGATTAATCAGGTTATCGTCCTGTTTTCCCCACACCGCACCTGAAGCAGTTCCTCGTATTGCGAAACTCGTCCTAAGTAGCCTCTCGCTGCCGCCTGTTCCATCAGCATGACGGCTCAAAACTCCTCTTTGGGGCGGTCGAGTTCTGAGCGTGGTCGGCCCAACCCCGCGGTGCCTCCGGTGGTCGGCGGGCCGGCCGTGACCCCCGTCGATAGGTCACGGTCGTGCTGGAGGAGGGGGAGGGGAGAGCGGCCGCCGCGCCGGGAGGGCACGGACCGGTCCGCGGCACCTCAGCCGTGCTGGCCGGGGGAGGCGTGTGGCCGACCGGGGGAGGCGTGTGGCCAACCGGGGGAGGCTTGTGGCCGACTGGGGAAGCGTGTGTCCGACTGGGGAGGTATGTGGCCGACCGAGCTGGTGGTGAGAAGAGAACGAAAGGAGGCACCTGCCGACCATGCGTCACCACACTTGTCTGGAGGAAGGATTTGGAATGAAGTCAAGGTCGGACGACTTTGAAACATCAGATCCGCTTCAGATCATCTATCCTACCTGGCAGCTTAATAACCTGTAACACCAGGATCAAACGCCAATTCCGCTGCAGCCCAATTTGTGGTAACTAAACGGTAACGTTCTCTCGGCGCAGATCGTCAGTGGCCCACTCATCCTAGTCCTGGCGATCCCGCGCGGTTGTACCACGACTCGCGCTCCCTAAAGCGAATCCGAACTTCGTGCAATACATCATTACATGTTATTTGCAGCATGCAATGCATATAATCCTAAATCGATTTCGGGAACTAAGAATTTCCATGCGGTCATAACTTTTGTTCGGCTGGATCTCCCAACCATAAACCGACGGTATAATCCTGAGGACGGCCTTGCAGGAGGGATGATCAGGCTCGGTAAACAGTTCCTTCCAATGTGCGGGGTCCGCGCGGCTGCACGGTGGCCGCTCTGACGGACGGGTGGCCGCTGATTCATCAATCACTATTGGTCGGCTTTGCGGCGACCAATACCGTGGGGTGCAGCGCGCGGCTCGGAGCTGCGGTGGCATTTGGCGGCAGTCGCACGCGCCCGGCCGCCGCCGCCACCGCCTGTCGACCGCGGATGGCTGATCTGACGCCGATTACGCCTCTGATCCGACGCCGATATGACCGCTGAGTAGACCGCTGAGCTGA